CGCAGGCTCAGGCAATCCACTCACCTCAGCCTCCCAAGGCGCGGGATTACAGGCTGAGCCACTGAGCCTGGCTTCTTCTACCTTTGTAATATCAATGTCTTTTATTTCATTTTCTTGCCTAATTGATAAGGCTATAACTTCTGGTATAGTGTTGAATAGCAGTGGTGAAAATGGGCATTCTTGTCTTGTAGCTGATCTTTAGGAGAAAGCTTTTATTCTTTCACCATGAAATATGATGTTAGCTGTGGGTTTTTCATAAATATACTTTATCATGGGTGAGGAATTTCACTTCTTTTCCTAGTTTTCTGAGTTTTTAAAAAATTTTTTTGTAAGTCAGTTTTTCACTCTGTCATCTTGGCGGAGTACAGTGGCATTCACAGCTCACTGCAGCCTAGACCTCCTGGGCTCAGGTGATCCTTCCATCTCAGCTTCCCGAGTAGTTGGGACTACAGGTATGTGCCTCCATACTTGGCTCATTTTAAAGTTTTTTGTAAACCCGGGCTTAGTGGCTCAGCCTGTAATCCCACGCTTTGGGAGGCCAAGGTGAGTGGATTGCCTGAGCCTGCGGGTTTGAGACCCACCTGGGCAACTTGGTGAGACCTCATCTCTACAATAAATCAAAAAATCAGCCTGGCGTGGTAGCGCGTGCCTGTAGTTCCAGCTACTTGGAAGCCTGAGGCGGAAGGATCGCTGGAGCCCAGCAGGCATGTGCCACTATGCCTGGCTGATTTTTTGATTTTTTTTAATTCTTTTTTTTTTTCATTTCTTCTTTGTTCTTTTAGTTTGATTTTTTGATTTATTGTAGAGATGAGTTCTCGCAATGTTGCTCAGCCTGGTCTCAAACCCCTGAGCTCAGGCAATCCTCTCGCCTCCACTTCCCAAAGTGCTGGGATTACAGGTGTGAGCCACTGTACCTGTCTGATAATTTGTAGTTTTCTATTCCTTCTGTTTTCATGCTTTAAATCTTGGCTTTACCAATTCATGAAAGAGAATGTAAAATATATCCATTAAGAATCAGATTAGAATTTGTAAGAAAGCTTGAAAACCTTCGTATTTAAATACTTTTAAAAAGTGATTTGAAATGATTAATTGCTTTGTTTTAAATATTGATGACACCATAAGTGAAATATTTATACATAAGTTTCATGTTTAAAAAAGTAGATTTAGGCAGGGCACGGTGGCTCAAGCCTGTAATCCCAACCCTTTAGGGGAGCCAAAGCAAGGATCGCCGGAGCCCAGCCGGTCGAGGCTGCGGTGGCCGGGAGCTGCCACTGCACTCCAGTCTGGGCAACAGAGTGAGACTCCAACTCAAAAAATAATAATAATAATAATAATTTTTATAGCTATTAGTACCTGAAATCTTTCAATCTTTCAATAAAAATCAATTAATTATTTGAATAAGACACTGAGATGGAAAATTTACTGTGTTTTTAAGGCTTTATTTATTTTTTTTGAGGTGGGGTCTCACTCCGTCGCCCAGCCTGGAGTGCAGTGGCACACTCATCGCCACCCCAGCGTCGACCTTCTGGGCTCCCGTGGTCCTTCTGCCTCAGCCTTCCAAGTAGTCAGAACTACAGGCATGTGCTTCCATGCCTGGCTAATTTTTGATTTTTTGTAGAGATGAGGTCTCGCCAAGTTCCTCTGGCTGTTCTCGAACCCGCGGGCTCAGGCAATCCACTCACCTAGGCCTCCCAAAGTGCTGGGATTACAGGCTGAGCCACCGAGCCGGCGGAAGGCTTTCTTTCTTAGTTTTAGCTTAAATACCAAGTGCTTATTTATGTGACCTTTTTGCTAACATTCACTTTAAAATGTCTTAAAAATCACATCGTCTTTTTCTTTTAAATCTTTTTCTGTTTATCTGTTAAAATAAGGAAAGGGTGCCCTAACGTTGGGCGCAATTGTACTCAACAAGATTTAGTAATTCCATTCATTCATAAAATGTAAATGACAGGAAAAATACGTGTTTTGCCACCTGGACCTGGACAGGTACGTTCCGATGCAGGAGGGGTTTTGAAATGCCGGTGGTCAGGTCACAAGCCCTTCAGCGTCGAGGGGGTTAAGTGCCGGGTAGGCTCGGTCTCTAGTCCCCGGAAGCCCCAGGGCCCCGGGAGCCCGCGAGGGCG